CCTAATTAACTTCCAGCTTGTCTTATAGCTTTATTTCTTTTGAAAGTATACTGTTTGGTTATCTAAATACAAAGTGAGCTTCTTGGATAGTGCCTAATTTAAAAAAAACAGGTTAACTAAGAAAAATAATGTTTTCTTTAAATTTAGAAGTGATTAAATTCAGTTCTTTTAATCCTGTTTGTACTTCCCTCTGCTAATTTTAGGCAGAAGAATTATAGGCTTTTTAGGGGTTTGAATCATTAAAATAAAGTGGTAGTGTAATGTGTTTCTCAGACTTCATAATTATAGATTAAATAGCTCATCAAAGTTATTGAAAGTAGATAATCCTCAACAGAAAATTTATCCCATAAACCAAACAACTCTGTCTCCTATGAACTCTGGTTCTAAATCAAACAGCATTAATCTCAATTAATACCATAAAAGAGAATTTTGTTTATTTTACTGAAATTGTGATTTCTTTGGAACTGAGAACCTCTCCTTTTGAAAATCAATTATGAAATAAATTGTGTTTTTTATAGATTCAAATGTATAGGAGTATTTGAGATTATACTTCAAAACCTTTAAAAACAATATCTAAAAAGTGTTCTAATGGTTATATGTTGTACAGAGGTCAGAAAAGCCTGCTAATCATCTTTCTATTTGCCACATATAGAATAGCAAATATTTTAGGCAAGCAAGTGGTAAATGTATCCAACATTTGATAATTTTCTGTACCTTGCATTTATTTTGTGTATATATGTGTGTTTTAAGATTATAGTATTCATTGCCTTATATTTGAATATATATATTACATATTGATATTGGACAAACAGTAGAGCAAGGCAGGTGGTTAAAGTGGTACCAAAATATATTTCATGAATTGCTAGAAATATGCTTAAATTCATTCTCAGCTTCTCAGTATTCAGAATAAAAAGAGAACTGATAAGTACAGTACAGTAAGCAGTTGTTGTTGTTGTTAAGTGCCATAGAGTCGGTTCCGACCCATAGCGACCCTGTACAGGGTACCTATGCCAAATATATATATATATATATATATAATAATTTGCTCACGAGAAACATTTTTTCTTGATGCTAGGGTAGATTTTATTTAAACGCTCATAAAGGGGACACTGTGGTATAGTGAACAATACCTTCCACATGCCATTAACATATATCACCATATTTTCACAAGGCCTTTTATTTCTATAAGTCAGTAAAAGCAGTTCTACTAAGGATAAATGCAAATTTGTATTATTTCAGTGGTCTTCTTGATCCAAAAGTAACACCAAAGTATCTTTCAACATCTGACCTTATTCACATCTCAGAAGGGTTTTGTTTGGCCATATAGTTTGTGTGTGTTGTGTGAATTTGAACTTGATTACCTTAAAGTACTATTTTGTACCTTCTATTGTCTACTCATACTTTGTCTTGTACCTATCTGACTGTTTTGTGTTTGGATCCGAAGGCATTTAAATGTGTAAGTCTTGATTTATAGGACTAGACAGATAATACTTTTACAAAGATAAGCTGAACAATATTTATCACATGTAAGTTTGTGATACAAATTTGATGACAAAAGATCTTGAGCCTGTGATCTCTAACACCTATTTGTACTACCCATCAAGTGGAGCTTAGAATAGAATCCTATTATGAAAGTTAAGAATAGATGTGTATCCTACCTCTTTGGAGGTGATGAAAGCCAGTATTTTCCTGAGAAAGTAGTTCTACATCCATTTTAACATATAGACAAATGGATAGGCCATACCCCAAAGTTCTCTGATAACCTCTGCTAAAGATATGCTTATGTAGTGAAATTTTTCAATGTTTAAATGTTTTAGTGCCACTATTACCAGTATTTCTTCATGAGCATAACATGTCTTAAAAGAATGAGAAATGCTTCTTTTTATTTATGGCTTGTAAGTTTCTTACAGCCCTCCAAGGTAATTTAGCTATAAAATACATCTGTAACTGAATGATGTTGACTTTTTTTTTTTTTTAATTATTGTATTGAAATCATTTTAATGTTTGGACCTAACCACCAAAGTGAGTCATTTTTAGAAAATAAATTGAAGACAGGTTCAATTATCCATTGAAACTGTACCTTTTAACATGTAATAATGTTGGCTTAGAAAAGATGACTTCTCTTTCTGCCCCAGTTATCAGGGTGCTCTACGGCATGCAGTGATCTCAAAGTGCTTTCTAGACTTCATGGTACTAGGAGAAAAAAAGGGGTCTAAGTCTCTGTGTTCCATTTTATTGTAGTGAAGTGGCAGTTTTTATCATATGCTTTCATTGTCAGTATTATAAATTGTGTGCCTTTGTGTATTTTAAAGAACATGAACTGAAGAGTCTTTTTCATTTTGTGTGTGTGTATATATATATATATTATATTTATTATTTATTTTTTTAATCACAATAGGAGAGAGAGCTTGAAGCAAACAAAAAAGAAAAAATGAAAGAAGCTCAACTGGAAGCTGAAGTGAAATTGTTGAGAAAAGAGAATGAAGCCCTCCGCAGACACATAGCTGTTCTCCAGGCTGAAGTGTATGGGGCTAGACTAGCCGCCAAGTACCTAGATAAGGAGCTGGCAGGAAGGTGTGTGAACAATGGGTGCCCGGTACCTCCTAGGTGACAGAATGGTGCTTAACAGGGTCATCTTGTGTGCTAAATGGAACATTCATCTTTGTCCTAAGAAACATTTTTAAGTTGGTTGTAATTTGCGCTTATTAAATGAATATTGATAGTATTATTTATTAAAGATTTACTTATCAATATTAAATATGTGTAACTGTTTACACACACACATAAATAGTAACTTACTGTGAAATACTAGCAAATCTATAGAGCAGCATTTTTCAGCTATTCTTGCCTTGACGCCATAATAGCTGATGTTTATATGTACATCAGAATTTCCATGAGGAATTCTGTCTATGACCATTAAAATCCCCATCTTTCTTGTCCCTCAGGAAAACATGTTGTAATTATGTTTATGAGAGTAATATTATAATACACAGGTTCTGTTGCTTTCATTTTTTAAAGTAAGTTATTCATAAGCTTTGGTGATTTGTTGTTAGTACTAAATCATTTTCTGCTCAATGTTTTAATGACACATTGAGAACTGATGTGGAACAAATAAAAACAATTTATATCTCTTTGAAGTATACATTTTTTTTAAAACCATATTTACAGTAATCATTTTGTAAAAAGAAACCTTCCAATAAAACTTTTTTTTTATATAGTAAATCTCATCTAAAGGTTACTCGTTAATAATACCTGGCTGAGTTCAGTGACCTACATTGATTGGAGATGCATCACATAGTAATTGTTACTAATCTCATAAATTAAGTATATGACTCAAGGAAGCCTCATTTATTCCTTTTTATTATTTTTTTAAAAATAAGTCCCTTGAAGACTTATCCTTTTGAAATCATTGTAAATCTGAGCTATCTCAGGAAGTTCCTGAGTATTAGTTTTATTACTAATTGAGCTTTTTGCAAGAACTGGTGATGTTCAGTGATTCTTCAGAATTCTCTCTTTGGTGAGTATAATAAGAAACTAAGTGAATTAACTTTTCCCCCAATGTGAAGGGTCCAACAAATACAGCTCCTAGGACGAGACATGAAGGGACCTGCTCATGATAAACTTTGGAACCAGTTAGAAGCTGAAATACATTTGCATCGTCACAAAACTGTTATCAGAGCCTGTAGAGGACGGAATGACCTGAAACGACCAATGCAAGCACCACCAGGCCACGTAGGTTTGCTTGGATACCACTTCCCACTCAACCTCTTCTTTTTCTCTTTAATTAAAATACTTTCTATTCTCTTTTTATGCTGTTGTTAAGTGCAGTCCGATGCATTGCGACCCTGTATAGGATTCCCAAGGAACAACTGGTGGGTTTGAACTGCCAACTTGTGGTTCTCAGTCCAGTGCTGATCCTACTGTGCCACACCAACTATTTAAAACCTTTACTTAAAAAAGTGAAAATGGAATTAAATTTATTTGAAACAAATACAGAATTTAAATTTCATTAACCATTAGAAATTTCAGTAGCTCTTCAGAGACTTACTAATGCCCTGAGAGTGCTATTTCTGAAGACAGCCTGGGCTAGCTGACATCCTGGTGTAGTATTTTGGATCATGACTGGGTATGCTTACATTTGTCTTAAGCTAAGCTTAGAGTGTGGTCATAGTGATCAATTACCAAATATTTTTGAGTAACCTTATAAAGGAATTTTGGTAACTAAAGGAGCCCTGGAGGTGCAGTGGTTAAGCACTTGCCTGTTAACCAAAAGGTCAGAGATTTGAACCCAGTGACAACTCCATAAAAGAAGACCACATGATCTACTATAAAGATTATAGCCTAAGAAACCCTCCAGGCCAATTCTACTCTGACTTATAGGGTCACTGTGAGTTGGAATCTACTTGAAGTCATGCACCAATAACAAAAACAAACGTAGATTTTGACCTAGCATTTACACTTGTTTGGTCTTCAGTTATGATGGACTTTGAGATCGTTGTCTTACTTGTATACTTCTGTAGCCACCATTGTACAGGTTTCTTTTCTATCCTGGTAAATCTTTACTAAATTCTTTACAACAGTTCCTTGATATGAACCTTAATGTAATGAAAGTGTGTTTCTTACCTAGTGGCTCTCATATATTAGTATGCATAGCTAAGTGAAACAGTGTGTTATCTCTGTGAACTGTGTTGTCAGAAGAATTGATATGCACATGAAGCTGATGAGAGAGCAATAGGGATTGCAATCAGCACTAATACCATTATCTTCTCTGGGTTGTTAGTGATTCCCATTAACTTCTAACTAGGACCAATTGATTTGGGAAATTGAGAGGGCAGAAAGAAAACTAAGCAGTTTTGTGTTGGGTGTGCCAGGGTGATAAAAGAAACAAACTGGTGAGAATGGCCAATTATACAACTAGAGTTTTAGGCAGTGGCCAGATGGCAAAAATTCTTCTGTGTGAAATTAAAGAATTTGAACTTTAACCTGACATTCATAGAACTTTTAAGTATAGTGGTAGACTTGAACAGATTTACACTAGAACATTATTGTAGTATAATAAAGAGAATATATTGGACTAGGGCCAAATTTGAGCCAAGGAGATTTAATAGGAAGATCCAACAGTGATCTCAGGAGATTTAATAGGAAGATCCAACAGTGATCTTAAGGAGAAAATGATGAGAGCAGGAGAAAGTGGAATTTGAGAGGAAGGACAGTGAGCATTAGAGCTTAGTAGGAGGTAGGGACTAAATGCTTTTGGCTAAGTATCTGAGTGAGAAGGAAAATCTAGGTAATTGACTAGGACAACTGAGTGGGATGTTGGCATTCACTAGTAAAGGAAATGATGAGGAAAAGAATGGTTTTGAAGAAAACACGAGTTGAGTTTTATGTGTGTAGTGCCTGAGGTGCCAGTGGGATATCCAAGATACATCCAGTTGGACATACGACTCGTAAATTTAGGAGAGAAGTCTGAGTGGAGGAAACATTATGGAAGTCATCCATCTATTATAATTGAAACTATGGAATTGATAAAGGTCACCCAGTGAAAGTACATAAGGAGAAAAGAAAAGGAGGTCAAGGATGGAAACTTTTATCCAGTGAAGTGTGGACGTAGATCTCCAGAGATCGGAACCTGAGCTGGAGCATCAGATATAAGCGACCTGTTGTTGTTAGGATTGTTAAGTTGGTTCCGACTCAGCGGCCCTGTATAAGATTTCTGAGGCTATAAATCTTTACAGGAGCAGAAAACCTCATCTTTCTTTCATGGAGCAGATCATGGGTTCAAATCATCAACCTTGTATTTAGCAGTCCAGTGCTTATCCTACAGAACCACTGTGCTCCCCACATAGGAGAGTAGTTAATAGAAGGTTTTTAAGGAAGTATAGTCTGTAATATCTGCTGGTTTCTGTAGAGTGCAAGTAGGGGAGTCCCTAACAAGTGGTAATTGGATGTAGTTTAGTTACCAGTGACCATAGAGAAGACAATTTCTGTGGAGGGATGGTGGCAAACCCCAGTTAAGTCATTGTATATGGGGGATAGGTAAGAGATCGATTTGATGAGGATGAACTTTGTGTGAAGGTTCAGAAAAGTGGAGAAAGGTATTAGCTAAAAAAGGGTATGGGTAATTGAAGGGGCAAAATTTGGATTGTGTTTGCACTTGGTCAGTACTTTAAAGTTGGAAGACACTTGGAACGTGTGTATCTGCTGAAGAGGGAAGGAATTTTAGTAGTGAAGGAAAAAGTAAAGGTACCAGAGAAAAAATTAGCACTAGAGCAAGATCCTTAATTTAAGAGGCAGACTCCAGAGCACCAAAGAGTGAAAAAATAATTAATCTTCTAATTGGAAATTTGTTTTTCAGTTCAATTTAACTGTATGAAGATCTTTAGGAAATTTTTCAGTGGAGATAGACAGCTGTCTATGTTTTATTTTCTGAACTTAATTGTTCATCAATTCATTCCTTGCAATAATTTCTTGCATATTTTTGTATAATTTAAAAATAGTGTCAATATTATATAGAAATTATTGACAACAGGTTAGAAAATGATGTATTTCACTATATTAGCAGAACAGCTATTTTCGCTTTTCCATTATCCTTTAATACTTCCTTAATTCTATACTGTGAATCTGTACAGGTAATTAATAAAGAATTCTAAAAGCAAAATAAACAGCATAGTTTTACTCCTTTTGTATATTACATAGTAATTTGTATTCTCCTTTTTTTCCCCAATAAGGATCAAGACTCCTTAAAGAAAAGTCAAGGTGTTGGTCCAATTAGAAAAGTTCTCCTCCTTAAGGAAGATCATGAAGGCCTTGGCATTTCAATTACAGTAAGAAGTAGTACTCCCAGTCTCCTTTGCTGTGGTTATCTAGTATAAGCATGTTCTTTTTTTGGATATCACTGGGGAACAAAAAAAATATTCTGGGTACACTTTCTCTGACAACCAAATTTATCCTCACAGCACCATTATTTATGTTCTGTGTAATTTTGTTTTGCATGTAAATCTTCATAACAACTGCTAAGTAAACCTTTGGTAAGCACAGTTTAACATTTTCATTCTGACCCAGGTCACAGTTGTGTGCCGTATACTGTGATGCCTCTATGAGCCTTTGGGAATAAATAGAACTCTTTTCTTCTACGTTAAATGGCTCCAGATTAGACTGCTTTACTCTCTACTCTGCTCTGTGTGTTCTCTTGCTCTTTTCTCATCTCTTTGCAATCAAATTTCACTGACTTTTTGATACATATTAACGCTTTATTTTTTTCATTTGATGTGTTTATAAACAGTTAGCTTAGGCAACATTCCTGAGAGCTATAAAGTGCATAAATTTGAAGTCATTTTGCCTGTATTTGTTCCAGATGAATGAATAAAATGGCTGTGCTCTGATTTTCATTTTGTAATATATAACCATTGCATAAATTAATATGTTTCTGGTATTGCTTAATGTAGGAATGTTTCTTAAAATAAAAAGTTGATCCAATAGATATTTATGGAATGCATACTTTTCTTTTTTTTAAAATACACTGCTCTTAAGCAGCGTAAATTCTACAAGGAGAGATAGAGAAACATAGAAACATAAATAACTACTGTGAAACCTGCAAGAGCTGTAACTCAATGAGACTGCCTTGTGTTTTCAGGTTTTAAAAGTTTTCTGCCTTTAACAGGGTGCAACTTACCCTTTTCTTTCTCTACTAGTGGAAAATATTTGAGTTTTCCTTCTCTGAGAGGTTTCCAATTTACACAGATTTTGGCTTTCACAGGTTCTATTGTATAATGCAATCTAGAATGTGATTAAGTATAACAAATACTGCTTTCAACTCTGCTGCTTTCCCCCCCACATTTTCACATCTCTGAAATTGAGGTACATGTTACTGTCAATTTATTGTTTTTTGTTTCTTAAACTTTTTATTGTGAATTGAGTAAAGGTTTATAGAATAGACCATCAGTCCCATATTCAACAATTTATACACTTGGGTCAGTACAGTGATTGCAATTCCTTCCCTGTACCATCAGTTAACAGTGTTTACCTCTGTTCACCTTAACTCTAGCTCTCCTCCCTGTGTCTTCCACTGCCTTCATCTTTCCTATACCAATATCCTCTTGTTTCTGTGTCTTACTCCAATGATGTGACTTGTTAAGTGCCGTTGAGTCAGTTCTGACCCATAGCGACCCTATATAGGGCTTTCGAGGGGCAGCTGGTGAGCTGGAACTGTCAACCTTGCAGTTCTAATGGCTTTGAAGTCTGACGCATTAACCCACAACATCACACTTATAGTAGTGCTATGGACTACTAAGACTTAAACTTTCTCTTTTACTAAAAGAGTTTTACCAATTAATACCTTTTTAATTTTCATTATGTGTCGATTTTCTTTCTTTTTGGTGGTTCTGAAATGAGTTTTAGAAAAGCACATGTAATTAATCATTTTATTCATTTTTTAATCATTTAAAAAAATGATTTTTTAATCATTTTATTTACTCTGATGCTTAAGTTACAAATAAGATATCACCCAATATTTTAAGAAAATATTTTATATCTATTTAGAATGACCAGTGACTTTACCTTTCAAAGAGTAAATTATTTTTCTGCTCTTTGTTGTTTTTGTTAGGGTGGGAAAGAGCATGGTGTTCCAATCCTCATCTCTGAGATCCACCCCGGGCAACCTGCTGATAGATGTGGAGGGCTCCATGTTGGGGATGCTATTCTGGCAGTGAATGGAGTTAACCTAAGAGATACGAAGCATAAAGAAGCTGTAACCATTCTTTCCCAGCAGGTAAATCCCCTTTATGTCATTAAAACTATATTCTTTTTGAAGTAGTTGGTTCTTCTTAAAGCTGTTGACTGCTTTATATGTCCCTAAAAACTTTCTTAAATAGTCTGTGTCTATACAGTACGTAGTTCTCTTTGCTTTTATAAAGCTATTTAGACAAATTTATCAGAACAGCTCTTGTTTGCTCTTTTGCATAACAATATAACTTCTAACAAGTTATTTAAGTCCTCTGTGCTGATGTGTCCTTATCTGTGCAGTAGGGATTGAAATGGAGTTGTGAGGATTAAGTACGGTAAGAATAAGACCAGGCGGTACATGGAAAGCAAAGCATCATTAATGACTAAAATACTATACAAATACATGAGCGTATGTTTAAAATCATTGCTACCAGGGTTCCAGTTCATATATGCACCGCTTTATTCCAAGAAAATGTTTAAACATGTCTCTGTGATCAGTGAGTGGCTGCAAACAAGTTCTCTTAGTAACACACTTCTTTTAGGCTCATTAATATGCCCACAAAAACAAAGGTGCAGTCAAACAGTGGCTTCTGAGGGTATGTGCTGGGCCAGTTCAATTTATGGTAGAGAGGTCAGCTCATCACAGGGTCTTATTTTGAAGAAATTTTAAGAAAATAGAAAACTGCTTCTGTGAGAAAAGGACCAGGAAAGTTGTGCTGAGGAATTTTTTTTCAGTCATGACACTACCTGCTTATTCTTTGAGGGTTATCCTGTGAGTATTTCACTGGCAAACCTTATTCCATCAACCCTGCAGCACTGAGATCTTGCTCTTTCAGACTTCTTTTTATTCCAAAGACTCTAAGAATATGAAAAAGGAACATGATTTGAGTCCCTCCGGGATGCACCAACTGCCGTTTTGTTGTGGTGTAAATCAAAGAGTACAGAATTTTTCCGGAAGGATATAAACACTACCTTTCAAAGTGCATACAGAACAGGTAGAAGTTTTGTTGCAGAAACGGGGAAGTAGTTAATCTTAAAGTATAGAAACAGAGGCCCCTAGGTCCATCAAGGGAGAAGAGCACAAGTGGAGTGCAGGACCCTATCCAGAGAAGCAGCGTTACCAGAGATGGAGGCAGAGCTGAGGTCATGGAGAGAGAGGGAAGGCCTGAGGACTCTGGACTCATGGGAAGAGAGGGACTGGGTGCTGGTGGCCAGAGGGCAGACTTGAAGAATGTACCATTTGGTTGCTTAAATTATTATATATTCCTGAGTGTTTCTAGGTACATCACCCCCCCCCCCCACAAAAAAAACAGGGAATGGAAGCTGTTGAATGATGATACATGGTGAAGATTGTGAGCATTGCAATGAAACACTGGTGTAAAGCCGATGTTCTCCCATGTAAACTATCACTTAAGTTTTAAGTTCACAGTAAAAACTTAAAAAAAAAAAAAGTGTATACAGAGAAGAGGCGAGAATGACTCTTGGATCAACCAAAGCCCATGTATTGCCCCATCTCCATGCCCAGCGCCTGTGCCCCACTGCCAAAGCCACCACGCCCAAGAGAAAGGCTGAAGGAGATGCTAAGGGACATAAAGCCAAGGTGAAGGATGAACCTCAGAGATCCACGTGGTTTTACCTGCTAAACCTGCTCCTCCAAAGCCAGAGCCTAAGCCTAGAAAGGCCCTGCAAAGAAGGGAGAGAAAATGTACCCAATGGGAGGAAGGGGAAAGCTGATGCTGGCCAGGATGGGAATAAGCCTGCAGAAAATGGAGTTGTCAAACAGACCAGGCACAGAAAACAGAAGATGCTGGAGAAACCAAGTGAAGGGTGCACGTTGGTAACTGTGGACTTCTGGTGACTGTATAATTTGAATACTATTTTTTATTGTTTTATAAAAATGCAGAATTTTGTTTTACTTTTTTTTTTTAAGCTATGTTGTTAGCACATAAAACACCTCATTGTTTTTTGGGAAAGGGGCAAATGCTACTAAAACAGTGTCTCCAAAGCTGGATTGATGTGGAAACAAACACCTTTCCCATTTAGTTTTGAGAGACTTCCTCTTGGTTCCAGGAGAAGGGATTCCCTGGCGTTGACACACATTAGCCACCTTGGCACAAATGTCATGTGATGTGGAAACAATAAAATTTGTTTTTACATCTTCATATCCTCTTCTCCCTTTCTGCCTTCAGTGTACACTTGACTCTCTTAAACCCAGAGACCTTTTGGGACCTGACCTCAGAGAACTGGTTATTCATGTGTCAGGCAATCTGCACTTTCCAGTGGTGCCATCCCATTGACACCCCTCAAAAGAGCAGCAGTTCCTTGGTTGATTTTAGACTGTGGGTCTTCAGATTGGTAATTCTGCCATTTTCAGAAAGTCAGTGTCAGCTCATGAAAAATTGTTAAACAACATGCTTGCTAAATGTAAACTGTCAACCCTCACTTTAAACTTTGCTTGTTCAGAGCATCAGATGAAGACTTCCTTGGGCCACGAGGCTCTCTGATTTTTGTAGTCCATTGAAGAAGGGAGTTTGAAAATTGTTGTATACTGTTAACAGTTGTGTGTCAATGTCCTACCTGAATACCATGACTGTTTATGAAAAGTATCTTTAACAAAGCTGGGCACAACTAAAAGAAAAAAAAGGTTCATATACCCAGGTGTTGGGTAAGTTGAGAACTAGTAGCATCACACTTTGATGATTTTGTTTATTTAAAGTTTCTCTGATTTTGTAAGCAATAGTTATTTACTTGGCTTCATAAGGTATTATAAAAAAGCAGTGCTTAAATTGGATTGATTTTATATCCACTGATTGATAGAACTGAAAGGGTACTTTGATTTTTCTAGCCCAACCTTCATATTTAAAATGCACTAATTGGTATTTATAGAAATTAAACAATTTACTCAAGGTCACAGAGCAAATACATTTAGAATTGAGATCAATATCCAGGACTCATATTTATTCAGCTTATTTAAGATACTGGTTTTGTCTTGTTTTTCCCTTTGATAAGCTGGCAATATGTTGAGATGTTTGTTGGATCTTTGGTAGAATTGAATCTCTGGTTTGAAGTGAATTTATAACTCACTGAGTTCAACTCTAGTGAAAATCATCAATGAAATAATTGCATAAAAAGAGACTTGCTTGATGATCAAGTAGTCCATTCTGTTTTTTGTTTTTTTTTTCATGTTTTATTGTGAATTATGTGATAGTTTACCTGGGAGAACATTAGTTTCACATTTATCCTATTGTATATCGTTTCATTGCTATGGTTACAATCCCCTCCATGCATCATCAACCAACCAAAGGGTATACACTACAAGCCTGCCCCCCGGTCGTCAGCACACAGCCCCTCTCCCTCTGGGTTTAAAGTGTCCAGCTACTCCATCTCTACACATCATCTCTGCCTCCATCTCGGGCATCACTGCTTCTCTGGGTAGGGTCCCGCTCACTGCTCTTCTCCCTTGATGGTCCCAGGGACCTCTGCTCCTAGACTGGAAAGTTAATCACTCCCCTCCTTGCTACAAAACATCTACCTTTATATTTCCAACCCTCACAATCAATCCTGATAACATTTATTCACTGTTGTATCATAAGAGATCTATCCGCATTTCCTTTTATCAGCCCTGCCTAGACAGATTGGATACTACTCAGTGGAGATTTTACCTTCCTCCACGCCCTCTGAATGTAGGTTCCTTCTTGAAAGCTTGTAAGCTAGTCA